GAGGCATGGGGATGCCTCGGTCCCGCGGCGCACCTTCCCAGGGCGGCCCACGGCCGCCCGTCTGCTTAGACTCAAAGTTATCCAAAATCAATCCTCATCAGTGTCTGACAATCTGGATCAGTGAAGCCTTAAATAAATGCTCAGACATTCCTGGATTCACAGAGCGATATTTTTCACTTGCTGCATTTCAGACTCTGGCTGTGGGTTTCTTGAGATGGATAATATACCTGTTTGGTCCAAATCTCAGTATAGATGGCCACAGTCCTGACCTGGGTAATATTACCAGCCAAATCTCTAGGTTTATTTGTGGGATGCAAAATAGAAAAAAAACCCTACAGTTTAGTTCTACATAGTATCACCAGCACTACTTGGTTATAGGACATCACCATCATCCAACTAAACTTCTCCAGGCCAGGGTCCCTCCTTTAGACATAACCTATCATTGGGATGGTCAACACAGGCTGACTCAAGCAATTGATTACTCACATTTAATAACAAAGAATCTTGCTGTGCCTTAACATATTTATTAGGACATAAGCTTTCATTGGCTGTAGCACCACATTGACAGATCATGATGTGTTATGCTCAGTTACAGTAATATATACACATGATTGTAGGAAGGGGATGAAGTATTGTAAACAGTGTAATCAAGAGAAATGCAGAAAGTGTGGGCAATGATCATTGCTCTGTTAATAGCGGTCATTCTCAACACCATTGTTAAGTGGTAACATAGACCAGGGGCAGGCAAACTGTCCCCTTTAAGGGCCGAGGGACTTCAGCTCCAAGAATCCCAGACTATTGGCCAACATCCCAGACTATTGGCCAATGTGGCTGAGGCTTCTGGGAGCTAAAGTCCCTCAGCCCTTAAAGAAGACAGTTTGCCTACCCCTGAATGTCATAGACATTCATGCATTGGTGAGCTGTCAATACATTTACTATGGACCTTATCCCACGGGGCCAAAAGCAGCAAGAATCCACTAAGAATCAGGCGCTATAGCGCTATACATTCCCGGGTGATCACACGACGTCGCTCAGAATCGGCTAAGAATCAGGCGCTATAGCGCTATAGTTTTCTGGGTGATCACACGACGTCGCTCAGAATCCGCTAAGAATCAGGCGCTATAGCGCTATAGTTTTCCGGGTGATCACATGACGTCGCTCAGAATCCAACAAGAAACCGCTCGGAATGCAGCATCATTCGGGTTCTTTTGAATGTCGGTTTCAGCGGGCATTGCAATAGCGCTAGCTTATCCATAGCGCTATTATAGCGCTAGCGCCATATTTATACTAGCGCTATAGTACTGCAATGATGCTCATATCGCTTTCTTGCCACTTTTGAGAGCAGCGTGGGATAAGGTCCTATGACCAGTGCCAACCCCTCTTTTACCCTTGCTTAGAGAAAAGGAGATAAGGCTAAAACTCTTGACCAGTTATAGTACAGTTAATTTACCTTGCAATCTGTCATTGACCTTGGGTAAATGATCTTCAAAAGAAAGATTAGAATGTGACACAGATGAACTACAGCTCATCAAGAAGTTCAGGTTGGTATTTTGTGGCTTGAGAGGGAGAAACTTTTTAAAAAATTACATTCCCATTAACATGTTAACAAATTAGAGTTCAGCAGTCCCAGCACACCTGTGTTACCTCATCCAATGACTTTGTGAATGGCCTCTATTAAAAAGGATATGTCTATATGGGCTGGCATTTCTTTTCCCCTAAAATCCCCACACTGTCTCACAATGTGTATGTGCAAGTAGGTGTAAATGTATTGTGCATGCACACACACACACAACTCAAAATAATATTTTCTACATTTAATGAAGTGGACTTCCTGAAAGCTTATGCCATATAAATATGAAGAGGAGATCTGTGGCATAGGGAAACACATTTAGTATAGCATGAACGTTAACAGACTACAGCCCACTTCACCAGATGCCATAATAAATGGGTTAGTCCTTGAGATGCGACAAGACTCTCTGTGGCTTTTGCTGAAGCAGACAAACACAGCTATCCCTCTGGGAACTTTCACATTAAATGGTGGCTTGGGGTAGGGCATGTATTTCCTTTATTCCAGCGGAGGTGGCACCCATTCTCTGCTTGAGGCTTCCTCAAACTACAGTGACAATGATTAATCACATTGAAGAACAGATTTAATGCCTTTCCTAAACAGCTTTTGGAGGGTGACAGTTGAAGTGATCAGGGCTGACACATTGCCAAAGTACACAATGATAGCTTCACTGGCCTGCTGCTTGTTGGCCTCCTGGCTAGGATGGAGTGGCAGAGAGCAAAAACCACTCTGTTATACCTAATAGGACCTTATCACACGCGGGCCACAAAGTGATAAGAAAGCAAAATAA